CATTAGAGCAGGTACCACCACCACAGTATGTACTGCTGTCATCATAGCAGGTGCCACCACACTCGGTATGTACTGCTGTCATCATAGCAGGTACCACCACCACAATATGCACTCCTCTCATCATAGCAGATACCACCACAATATGCACTGCTGTAATCATAGCAGGTACCACCACAGCAGTATGCACTGCTGTAATCATAGGTACCACCACAGCAGTATGCACTGCTGCAATCATAGCATGTACCACCACAGCAGTAAGCACTGCTGCAATCAAAGCATGTACCACCACAGTCAGTATGCACTGTTGTAATCATAGAAGCTACCACCACAGCAGTATGCACTGCTGTAATCATAGCAGGTATCACCACAGCAGTATGCACTGCTGCAATCATAGCAAGTACCACCACAATATGCACTGCTGTTATCATAGCAGGTACCACCACAGCAGTATGCGCTGCTGTCATCATAACAGGTACCACCACAGCAGTATGCACTGCTGTAATCATAGCAGGTACCAACACAGCAGTATGCACTGCTGTAATCCTAGAAGGTACCACCAGTCACTATGCACTGCTGTAGTGATAGCAGGTTCCACCAGTCAGTATGCACTGCTGTAGTGATAGCAGGTACCACCTCAGTCGGTATACACTGCTGTAGTGATAGTAGATACTGCTATTGAGTTGGTAAATACTGCTATATAGATTTAGTAAATTCTAAAACAGTCAGTATATACCACTACAGTCAGTCAATATTGCTACAGTCAGTATATACTACTATACAGTCAGTACATACTACCACGGTGAGTACCTACTAGAGTCAGTAGATACTATTATAGAGTGAGTATATACTGCTATAGAGTTAGTAGTTACTACTATAGTCAGTGGATACTACTATAGAGTCAGCAGATACTATACAGTTAGTCGTTACGACTATATAGTCGGTAGATACTACTGTAGGCCCAGTAAATACTACTATGGTCAGTAGTTACTACAGTGACTAAATACTACTACACAGTCAGTAGCTACTACTGGCTCAGTAGATACTACGGTACAGTCAGTAGATACTACTGCAGAGTCAATAGATACTACTTACTCTGTTGTATGTAAGGTGTGTAGGTATATATACCTATGAGGGGTAAAGATATTTTTTGAGGGGGCGGGGTCCACAATTTTCGGAAACCTTTACATCAACTATTTACCCCACACTTTCTACAAATTTTTGGACTTGTGCAAGCCTCTTATATATTTGTTGGTGGAGAAATGTACAAACGGCCCACCGGGCTTTGACAATACCTTAGTATCTGTGTGTATATATGTAAAGTTTGTAAGAAATATATTTTTCACCCGGGCAACGCCAGGTACTTCCGCTAGTCTTCTTTCTTTTCTTTCTTCTTTCTTCTTTTCTTTTTCTTCTTATATATAAAAGTCTCCGCGCGCTCGAGCTTGCGGGGGATTTGGCTCTCGGACGGTGGCCTTCACGTAGAAAATAATTTGCCGGGCGGCACGCCCTAAGCCCCGCGGTGGGAATAGGCAATTCCGTTTTCCCATCCGTAAAAGTTAAAGTACTTTAATTAACAAATTTGTGCCGTTTCTATTATTAATTATTTACTTATTGCGCGCAGTCGACCGTACCAAGTGATGCCAATTGCGTGGGGGGGAGGGCGGACCCTACCCAGTACTGCGAGTTTGCTCCAGCTCACGGGGACATTTTATTTCACGCGTTTAACATGGAATAAATATACACATCACGCTGCCGATTTCTCTTCACAGTGTGATGTCCCCTTCCCCCCCCCCCACCACCACAATGCGTGCAGTTACTGCTATAAAGCTCTTACAAATTAATTTAATATTATGACAACGCTTACATGGTATTATTCTGCCTCGGGCGGGGTGATGGTGGGGGGGGGGGGGGTAGCGGCCCAGCCAGCAGCCTGGCAATGTCTCACCTCCTCCGGCTTGCCAATCTAGGCGAGGTCGCGGGCTCTGCACGGGACGAGGCGTCACCACACCAATGTAAAGTACAATTTTATTGCATCTTTCGCTAAGAACTGAGGTGTATTGTTTACTATTATTAAACAAATAAGTTTATAAATATTACAATGATAAAGTCGATGTCTGTGTGTGTGAGTCCATATGTGTTTGTGTGCATGTAAGTCGATGGGTTTCTACGTGTGTGGGTCCATGTCTGTGTGTAAGTCCATGTGTGTGTCTGTCTTTATCAAACAGACAACGCCCCATGTGTGTATACGTACAAGTGCATGTGTGTCAGTCCATGTGTGTGCGTATCAGTCGCTGTGTGTGTGTTAGTCCACATGTGTGTGTAAGTCCATACATGTGTGTGTGTCACTCGATGTGTGTGTGTAAGTCAATGCGTGTGTGTGAGGCTATGTGCCTGTTAATCCATGTGTATCTAAAGTACATGTCTGTGTGTCACAGTCCATATGTGTATGTGTGTGTGGGGCAATGTGTGGGTCAGTCTATGTATATGTGTGTAAGTCCATGTGTGTGTGTCTTAGTCGATGTGTGTGTGTAAGTACATGTGTGTTTACATCAATGTGTGTGAGTCCACGTATGTCTGTGTGTGAGTCGATGTATGTGTGAGTCGCTGTATGTGTGTACGTCGATATGTGTGTGTAACTCCATGTGTGTGTATCTGAAGTGGATGTCTATGTGTGTGTGAGTCCATACGTGTGTGTGTGAGTCGATGTGTTTGTGTGTGAGTCGATATGTGTGTGTGTGTTAGTCGCTGTGTGTGCATGCCTCCATGTTAGTCAGTGTAAGTCCATTTTTTTGCGTGTCTGTAAGTCCATGTGTGCATCTTAGTCCATCTGTGTGCTTTATAAGACCTGCACTAGGCCAATGATACCATCAGTAGGCCTGGCCTCTGGGTTGTTCTTCGTGCTTTCGGAGTCCCTCACCCTTTGCTCACGATCCTTAAGGACCTTCCTGCTGGTGAGCGGCCCCACGTCAAACTACGTGGCCGTCAGTCAAGCACAGGGACAATTTCAACCGAAAAGATGGATTCTGGCTCAGCAATCATTGGAAGGACGTAATAAACCATTTCGGATCTTAACTGATTGTGTTCACGTTTACGGTGACTTTCAGACCGCAGTCCACTCACTGGCATTGACTATATATCTTGTATTCTCTGTAGGGAATGGATTCTTTGCTCCGCTGCAAGTCTCCTAACCCCACTCTCCCATTGACATATTTCGTTGCTTCCTCTTCGTATCTTTCACGCGACGGTCAATGGTATAGCGTATAGCAGATTGTATGATAATGAATAGCATAAAATTGCAATGTTTAATACAATGTATAAGGTAATATATAGTATCGTAATTGTATAGTGAATATACAGCAGTGTGATATACAGTAGGGTGGGTAGAATAATACATAGTTTAATATTACAATGTATAGTCGAAGGTATAGGGTGGTGTATAGTAATACAGTATATAATTTTGTGTTGGGTTTGTCTATGGCAGTATATAGTACGGGGTAGACCCGTGTGATGTAAGAGAAAAAAGAGTTTAGCTGGAAGCATAGTATATTTTTTGCGACATAGAATTGTAATGTATTACTTACTGTTAGTAGCTCAGCTTATTGGAGAGTATATTTAGTATACTGATGATACTATGTAGTTTAAACTTTAGTTTTTTACGTGGTGTTTAGTTACTGCAGCTACATACTATTAACATTCCTTCCCTTTATTAATGCTACCCCTATCCCCTCCCTTTGATGCTGCTAATCCTGCATAATGCACGGGCATAATATGACTTTGAAACCCCCCGCCCACCTCCTACGCATTTCACACGTAGTGACTAATCCCATATCTGCATTTTCCATAAATATGCTAAATTCCTCTTGATATTATTTTGTCAAGGCGCTCTTCCCCCTCCAACCCAGCTTAAATATACGCTCCAAGCCTGGGGTGTTTCATTCAGACACTGTCTTCCCGACAGACCTGTTCTTCACCTGAGGACGGCTGCTTGCGTTGTGGCCGAAATGTCGTGAGAATTATTTTATTATGTTTAATTTTTATTATTTTATTATTTCCCTTCTACGTGACTTTACCGAAAGAACCAAGATGTCCCCCAATTGTAACGATGCTCACGAACCCATAGGGGTCAGCACCGAGCTGAGCCAGACACCAGGAGTCACGCGTGCCGAAGAGCACGATCGCCCTATCAAAGGTTGAGTCGCGGTGTCATTCAACACGCACGCACGCAGCAAGCCAAGAGGGCCTGACAAGGGGGTCATCCATTGAGTCCGCACACTAAAATCTGTCAAAAACCTGATCTCCTCCCACCCTCCCTGTATGCACACGGACTTTTTACACGCTCCCCCGCCCCCCCCCCCGAATCCTACAGAACGGCCGATATTTATCCACGCAGAAACGACCAAGGATTAATAATATGAACGTGTTTAAGCAAATAGATAGTCCACCGCCGGACTATCGAACTCATCTGAAGGCCGATGTAGACAAATTATTATCAAGGCTTCACCACCCAACCCACCCATCCCGTTTCCTATGCGTACGGACATTTTCAGTAGACCCCCCTCAATACGCAAGCAGTATGCATTTGGGTTAACCACCCCCCATCCCCCCTCTCCATGCGTACATACTCAATGGATGGCCCCTTAGGGCGCGTACTAAATGGATGGCCCCTTAGGGCGCGTACTAAATGGATGTCCCCTTAGGGCGCGTACTAAATGGATGGTGCCCAACCTGATTTTCCCAGCCCAGCGTCTACTCTGACGCCGCAAAATGTAACCAAGCCATAGGCCGATTTGTACTGAGATCCCTACGATTTCCTACCCCCCCTGTCCCACTGGACTGTGGTTGCAATAGGTGAGCAGGGTTAGACGGACACTGCTAGGATTTGCTACACACCGCGACTCCGCTTTGGTGTCGCACACCATGGCCCGGGATCACTACCGCCAGGTAAATACAGTTCAGCGTATAATCCCGGGTGACTTATTGCTCACTGTTACCCGGGGATCTCAGTCACAAGGGAAGTTGAGTCCGACGTAATCCTTGGGGCCCATTTGGTCACTGTCCTCTGCCGGCTGCGGGGCGAGGGGGTTCGGGGGGGGGCAAGGGTGTTGCCGGGGAGGGGAGGAGCGGGCAGTGGTGGGGTGGGGGGGCAGTGAAGGGGATGGGGAGTCGTGGGGGGTTGGGGCAGAGTTCATTAAGAATACCTACTGCACATCTGTGGGAAAAAAAGCTTTATAGCTCATCGGATTCCTCCGGTGTGAATACTGATTCTGAGATGTGCAAGTAACGGGCTGTGTGAATACGGTTATCGTCTTTATTCGCAGACCAAGGCCATACGCGTTTAATCCGTAGGCTTCTTGGCGAGCAATATTACGATTGATTTTGGTATCTACAATTGCGTGTCGTATAAAAACCCTCCTCCACCCGGCACGGCCAACGAATGAAGTCTCGTGATGAACAAACGTGCCCGAGTTCATCACTGGCGTCAGCTGTGGTGGAGAGCGATCTCGCAAAATGTTATGAATTGGGGACGACGTTTCGGTGATGGTGACAACCGGCACCGTCAGGCGATACAGAAACGGCACAATTCTCGATGCAGCAGCCGCGCTATGGGAATGTCGATGTAGTCCAGGGGTGTCCAAACTTTTTGCAAAGAGGGCCAAATTTGATAAAGTGAAGATGCCCGGGGGCCAATAGTTCCTTTTAACATGTTTTTAACCACAAAAGTTACGTGAAAATACACACTGTTATAAAAAATTGTCATTGCCACAATTACCTTTATTTTTCAAATGACAATGTAACCAAATATAAGCCACTCAGGCAGATGTGAACAACTCTAAAAACACAATTCTCCCTTTCATTCAGTCAGATAACATTGAACAAATTGTATAGAATACCTTAAATTTCCATGAGTTAAATATCTTTGCCTCATGAACATTTTAAACAGGAGTTAGAAGTAATGCAAAGTGGTCTATTATCATTAAACTTTAAAACAAGTGAATTTTGCCCTTGTCTTTTACAAGATATTTCAGAAGCAATAGTTTGTGTCACATCTACAGGTACATAACATCAACAGTTATAACCAAATCTTGTTCAATAGTTTAATAAAACAAGTGCCATAAGTCCCAGTGCATTAGTGTACTTTAGGCTTTTCACTGTTAATAGTGACAGATGTTACCGTTCAGAACACTCAATTTCAGATTGATCAAGAAACAGATAACTTGCTGACACTAATGAGAAGGGTGATACTGAGATCTAGATTTCAGTAAAGAGACCAGGTCTGGCTTGAGGGCAGTGGTTGAGATGCGTAAAATGTCACGCAAGTGGGAGTCACTCATCCTTGACCTCAATCAGTTCTTGTTTAAGTTCATGACTGAGAATGTTTGCTCACACAAATATGTGGAGCCGAATAAGCTCAGCATTTTCTTAGCGAATTACCGCATTTATGGAAACCTGCTTTTGTCCAGCTGCCGGTAAAAGTCGAGAGAACTCATCGTCACACTGCAGCTCAATGAGCTCCAGCTGCAGTTGTGGAGGAGCATCATCAGGGTCCACGGAGAAGGAGAAGAGAAAAGCATAATGTCCTTTTAAATAACTGCAAAGTCCCGAAAGCGTTTGTTAAATTCCACAGAAAGAGATGCGATAGCTGTTGCGTAACTCTTCACTTGCGCACCGATGTTGTCCTGTGGGAAACTGTCAATGACCTCTTTCAAAGCTGGGAAGTGCGCAGTGCAGGGCTCTGTTTGGGACAAGTGTCTTGGAAAAGTTGCAGTTTGGTTCCAATGGCCTTGATGTGAGCGTATAGCTGGCTCACCACTGCATCTCTTCCTTGAAGATTAACATTCAGCGCATTCATATGCTTCGTTATGTCAACCAAAAAGCCAGATTTGCCAGCCATACAGGTTCGGACAGTTCTTCCATTGGTTGTCCCTTCTCACCCAAAAAATGTCCAATTTCCTCTTTGAGAGAGAAAAATCGCTGCAGTGTGGACCCCCGACTTAGCCACCGCACATTGTTGTGATATATTACGTCACCGTATTCAGCCTGGATGTCACGCAAGAACTGCTGAAACTGTCGGTGGTATAGAGCTTTAGAGCGAATAGAATTGATTGCCTTTGCCACTGGTTTCATAACATCGACAAATTTGAGATGTTTGGCGCAGAGAGCCTGCTGGTGAATGATAAAGTGAAGTTTAATAGCGTTACCATGCTTCTTCGCTGACTTTATTGCAGATCAGTGTGGACAATCCACTTCGCTCGCCAGCCATGGCAGGCGCACCATCGGTAATGATCCCAGAAACTTTACTCCATATCATCAACAGCTTCACAAACAGAAAATAATAAATCTGTTCCTCTAGTTTGCCCTTTAAGGCTTTTGAGGTCAAGCAGCTCATCTGTCACGTTCATGTTGTCATCAACTTCTCTTAAAAAAATAAGTAGTTGTGCAGAGTCAGATGCATCGGTACTTTGATCGCAGGCTGATGAGAAATAATCAAAAGCCACTCCCCTGTCCCCCAGTTGTCTCTGAATATCTGACGATATGTCCTCAACTCTCCATGCCACAGTGTTGCGTGCCAGGCAAACATTCATAAATTCTTGCTTCTTCTCGGGGCAAATGTTTTCCACCATTTTCATGACACAGTCTTTGATAAACGCACCTTCAGTAAAAGGTTTGCCATGTTTAGCTATTAACATGGCCACTTCGTAGCTGGCTTTGGTGATGTTTTCCTTTGACTCACAAGCCCGTGTGAAGAATCGCTGTTGCGATGCCAGAGCAGCTTGGAGTTGCTTCACTTTTTCAGCGCGGTCACTCCCTGTTAGCTTGTCGTATGTTGTAGCATGTTTAGTCTCGTAGTGTCTCTTTACGTTGAAATTCTTAAACAAGGCAACCGTCTCTTTACAAATTAGACAAACACAATTGCCTCGATTTTCAGTGAAGAAGTATTGTAATTCCCACCGCTCCTGAAAGCGGCGGCCCTCACTGTCAACTTTTCTCTTTTTTTTTTGCAGTCGCCATGGAAAAAATTACTCGAGAAGGGTTCGCGGCACGGATGCAGAGCCAGATAGCATTAGAATGGTGCTGCCACCATGTGGTCAAAGGAGGAATTACAGCTTTAAAATTTTATGATTTATTTATTCTGACAGAGCTAGCGAGCCATAAATAACACAAGACCAAAGCTGCGGGCCGTATGAAATCTGACCGCGGGCCGTGATTGGCCCGCGGGCCGGACTTTGGACATGCCTGATGTAGTGGATGGTGTTTTGGTGGCGCAGTGGTTAGCGCAACGCGCTACCAACCCAACGATCCACACCTGTCACGTGTGTCACACAGCTGTCACGTGTGTCACACACCCGAAGCTTGCCATGACGTAAGGGACCGTGGTGATTTACAGCCAACGTCAGTTGAGTGTGGACAATTAGACCCAAGCCGAAACATAACATATAAAAAAGAATGTTTAAAAATATATATTTTATATTTGCAATGATATAATATAGTATTGTCATTAATATGACATAAGTATACGAGGTTTGCAATCGATACCACATTGGGAAGTGGGTTAAATTGAGTTACAAGATTTGAGGATACGACAACAACAACAGACAGTGAGTTAAACTAAAAGCGTGTAAAATAATTACTTTCACCCTAAAAACACCATTTAACACATTTGCAGGATTCACCCGTGAACAGCAATGCAACAATTCCACGTAAAACTACCACCAAATGAGCGTGCACATTATCAGCAGATTACATCATAATGCCGGGTACTATAAAATCTTGTTTTTTGTTTGACCAGATAAAGCACAAATGATCACTCTACGAAGTGGCTTATCATGCGGAAATTTATAGCAGCCAAATACTCTATAAGCGCATAACGTTGATTCTAAATGTGGAGGGAAAAACCGGAGGACCCAGAGAAAAATCCACGCGACCGCACGGAGAGAGACACTGCAGACACCAAATATACAGCAGCAGGTATCAGGGTCGGGATAGAAACCACGACCTCCTGTATGCCAGGCGAGATAGTTAACATCTCATAGCCACCGGTATGATGATGAGGGAGAAACACGCAAACTTCAAATATACAGCAGCAGGGTCGGGATCGAAACCACGACCTCCTGTATACCATGCGAGGTAGCCAACATCTCCTAGCCACTGTGATGATGATGATGAGGGAGAGACACGCAAACTTCAAATATACAGCAGCAGGCGTCAGGGTCGGGATCGAACCCACGACCTCCTGTATACCAGGCGAGGTAGTCAACATCTCCTAGCCACCGTGATGATGATGAGGGAGAGATACGCAAACTCCAAATATACAGGAGCAAGGCGTCAGGGTCGGGATCGAACCCACGAACTTCTGTATACCAGGCGAAGTAGTTAACATCTCCTAGCCACCGTGATGATGATGAGAGAGAAACACGCAAACTCCAAATATACAGCAACAGGCGTCAGGGTAGGGATCGAAATCACGACCTCCTGCACACCAAGCGAGGTAGTTAACATCTCATAGCCACCGCGGCTCCCCACGCGCGCTCAGGATGACAGGTGCCCCTGCCTGCTCCTGCGTGAGAGCGGTGACGCAGCGGTTAGCGCGCTGCGCTACGAACGCTTTAAACGCATGGCGTTGATTCTAAATGTGGAGTGAAAAACCGGAGGACCCGAAGAAAAATCCACGCGACCGCACGGAGAGACACACATGCAAACTACAAATATAGAGGCATCATGGTCGGGATCGGGCCCAAGAACTCCTGTACAGCAGGCGAGGGAGTTAACATCTTACCATCGTGGTGCGCTAATCTCTTATCTCCATAATAGTGTGTACATCCGCAGTGGAAAAGCCATCAGGTGTCCACATCATTCGCTGCTGCAGCTGCCATGGATCGTGATCAGTTGATGCGATTGAGCAGTTGCGTCCCAAAAGCTTCGCGGCCGACGAATCTAAGCCGGTGGATCTCCTCCGACGGGCGGCTCTTATATCACGAGGAGGTCATTTATATTTTATTTAATATATATATTTGTTACACATACAGGGTGCTTAAAAAAATGTGAACACTTCCGAGAAAT